AAGGGGAGAAGGAGTGGGCTTCTGGAACGGTGTTGAGAAAAGGGTTTTTTTCTTTTCATGTGAAAACTGAACAAATGTGACATGACACCAGTGAGATATAACGGGTCTGGACATCCACAACACAGTTCGTACCCTCATTCTTCAGAATCGACACGTGTGGAAAATCTAGGGATTTGTTTCTCTTGCTAAAAAATAAGGAATCAGTCTTAAAATAGTTTAAGATACTTAAATGCTGACATTGAAGAATTTGCCCCCCATTACCCTCACTAACAAACTACTGCTTTAAGCAAGACATTTGCCCAGTAACAGATGAAGACAACCATTTACAGGCAAGTAGCACATTCAATATGTGGCACACATTGTTACTTAGAGCTGCAACGAGAGTGAGTTAGCTGTATTAATCTGAAGTCAGGCAGAAGGCAGGCCAAAGTAGCATCTTATAAACTTATACTGGGAGCATCTATACAAGAGGTTAAAAGCGCAGTAGACTAATGCTACTGCACATTAGCATGTCATGGTGAAAGCCGTGCTAATGCAATAATGAGCAGCAGAATTAGTCTATTGTGCATTAGCATCACAAAAACATTGTGCTACTAAGTGCACAAAACATTGTGTTACTAAGCAGCAGTGCCAATTGCTGCTTAAGTTAGTACTTGTTATTACAGGTAATTATGGTGTTATTGCATTAATGCATGTGTAGATGTGCCAGCAGATGCATAACACATGCTCCTCTGAATTAGCTAATCTATAAGGTCTTACTCTTCCCTGCCTTCTGCCTGATAGCAGCAAGTTAACATCAACAGCTTTTTCAGTCCTGGAAGCTAGAGATCTCAAAAATGTTGGTAAATATCTTACAGAGCCTGGCAAACTGATAAAGTAGTTAAGAACTTGTTTAGATTATTAAAAACACACACGACCCTACTCCACCCAAATGCAAGTTAATTCTTTCCACATCAGTAAAGGTGAATAGGCTTCCCTTAGATTCCTAAAAAAGTTTTGATTTTGAGGACAGGTACAACTTAAAGTTTCTGAGGTGGATAAATGAACAGGGACAAACATATTTCTTTATAATCAGGAGCACATTGTGCATTTTGACATAAGTCTTTTCATTGGGCTAGACAAAGGATACGTTTGGAAGAACACCTAAGGGAGTTTTTACATGTGCTCCAGGAGTGGATGTGAGGGAGAGAAGTGTGGGGCAGGGGGAAAGCCCTGAGACCTGCAATTCCTCCATACTTATCACAAGTGAGAGAAGGAGCCCAGCAGGAGCAAGGAAAGTCTTGCTACATTTCTGCAGTGAGTGCTCCTTCTGGATTGGCAGCAAAAGAGCACAGAGAGGTACTTCTGGCCCTGGAGAGGGGAAGCCAGGGAGAGACAGCAGCATTCAGAGAGGGGGGACACAGGTTCACACCGTCCCAGGAGAAAAGTGCAAGGCAGCATGAGGCAGCTGGTATATGTGGTCAGAGGACCACTGACCACATGAAGGACCCTCGACTACAGGAAGCCAGGAAGGTCCATTTGGGTAAAGACTGAAGCTCCAAGGATCTGTGGCACGTGGGTGTATGGGCACAGTGTGGACTACATACTATTGCCAGTGAAAAAGGGTAAGACACTTCCCTGCACTGCTGATGCCAAGAGTGTGCGGTTTCCCTCCCCTTCCCCCCTGGGCAAGGGGTAGTGCTGCCAGCAGGACACATAGGATTGATTTAATTTGATTTACCCCAGGAATTTTCAGTGAATCATGTCAAGTGTAGGGACCCTCAGTGAACTGATTCATGTATATGGCCTCTTAATGAATTGTTTTAAGCATACCAACTCTTAATAAATTGATCCCAGCCTACTAATTTAAGTGTATGGACTCAGGGATCCCACTGAATTGAGTGACTCTAGATCCTGAGTGAAATGATTTCAGTTGAGTTCATTTAAGTTAATTGACCCTGGAAATGCCAAAGAATTAGTTTAAGGGGCCCTATATGGAGTCTATTTAAATTGATTGATTGGCAGACTTCAAACGAATTAACTAGGAGCATCTGACCAAGACAACTATCTGTTTAAGGAATGAACCTATTGAGGACTAGGGAAGCCATGGACTGGCAGTGAATTGCTGGTAGACAGACTTCCCCTCCCAGAGGTAAGCCCAATAGAGGGACCCACAAGGAGAAGTCCATATAGCACATCATGTAGCCTAGCCAGAGCAGCTATACAAGTACTCGGTAAACTTCCCATAGAAGAGATGAATTTACATTTAATGGCACAAACCTGGGCAATAACTCAAAGACCCACACACAAACTGCTGGATGTGGTACAGGTGGGCTGTAAGGGAAGGTGGAGGCTCATGAAGAAAATCATCTGAGGAGCAGACCCGGACCTACTGGCCAGCATAACCAGCTCCCAACCTTAAAGAAAAACATCAAAGGCGTAGCAGGCGAGAACATAACACCGGAGGGTGGTAGTCCTGACCTTCACCCTGACACTTCGGTAAGACATCAGGCAGGAGAGAGCCAAGTCCATATACCACCTACCCCTGATGGGATAGAGGAGGCTTTAATTAGAATGTAACTGCTCTAATTAAAGCACCACAGCGTAGCATAGATTAGCACTGCCCCTCATGGTGAGGGAGAGGGCAGGGACAGGGGCTGTTCAGGTGGGGTGGAGGCAGGGGGGCCGGAGCTGTGGCTCATGGGGAGGGAGGGGGCTCCCGCTACTGATTGCACCCCAGGAGCGCATGGGGGGGGTGTGCCCCTCAGATCTGTGTGGGGTGCGGTGGGGTGGGCTGTATGTGGCTCTTCTCGGTGGGGGTTGGGCTTGCAGTGGGTGCAGGCAGTGCTGGGAGGATGCTGCATCCACCCCAAATTTCGCTGCCACTCCACTCCCAGTGCTGCCACTGCTAGACATAGGCATGAGTGAACCAGGAGGCCAGCTGGGGCCTGGACAGAAAGGGGGCCCAAAAATGGTAATTTTTTTTTCACTGTCCAATTAGTATTATCATTATCTCTGGTGAAGTGGGGTCCAATACTAAAAGTTCACCTGGGGCCGCCAGAAGTCAAGGTATGGTGCTGATATCAGCGATTCTCAACCAGGGAACTGTGGCATCCTGGGGTTGCCACCAGATCCTTTGAAGGATGCCACAAAGTGTGAGGAGATGAACAAGGTTTGAGGAGATAAGCAGTCAAGCGCAGGCTTAGGTTTGTCTCTACCCAGCTAATCCCTCATATCCACTTCCCAGCCTCTGCAAAGAGTGAACACTACAACATAGAAATTACTTTTTGAAACTGAATGTCACTCAATTCAGGAAAGTCATAGAAGGGTGACTCAAGTCCTATAAGAGGTGCTTTAAAGTCCAAAAAAGGTTGAGAACCATTGATCTATACACTTGTGTAAAGCTGGTAGAACTCTACCAACGTTGATGAAGTTATTTCTTTAAATAAGAAGTTAATTCAGTTTCATAATTTATTTTCCTCTGGACAAACAACTTTTTTCTAATTTTGTCTTCTTTCCATTCCACTGTTCCATTGATGTAAATATATGCAACATTTTTTTTGCCCATGGAGCATTTAGGTCTCTCCCTTGTATTATTAGTTTAATTCATGCCTTCTCAGATGGAGAGTTAATTTCTATACAGAGTACAATATGACCAAGCATTTTCCGCAAGTAAAGTAAAAATTGCAGAGTTCGGATTCAATTCCTGGCCTACTCTTTCGTGGACTTCCCTTTCTGCTTCTTTGCTGACTTACACCTAGAATTTAGACCTCTTGGTCACCATGGATACAACACTGGACTAGGATTCAAGTGAGTCATCTTTTATTCCCAGCTTTAACACTGACCTGTTGACAAACGGTGGGCAAGTCACTTCACTTCTGCATCTCAGTTTACCCATCTGAATATGAAGACAATAGTATGTGACCACTCTTTGAAAAACTACTAGGATAGATGAATGAATGAAAAGTATGATATAAAATTTACTCATTGGCATTATTTTTACTTTTTCAAATCAGGTTTTAGCATCTCCAATTGAGAATAATTGCAGCTATAAATAATTGGTGGGACCAAGCTTATCCACATTCATTTGCACCTGAAACTTGCACTTCAAGTAAAGGAAGTCAGGTTTTCAAAATACGGCTATTTTTTAAAGCCTAATTGGAAGTCATTTCCTTGAGACAGCCTATAAATGTATCACACCTTTCCCCTGGACCAGTCTACCTCAACCATATGAGAATCAGGACATCCCCCACCCCCAACTTTTATGCATTTGGCTGTCCCCCAGTTAAGAACAACTGTTGTGCTGTCTTGACTTACTGCAGTGGTTCTCAGCCAGGTGTCACCTCTACTGCCATCAGGTAAACAGCCCCATGTACCTGTCCGAACAGCCAGACCAGGAAGGGCTAAGGTATATGCTCACTGTCCTGTTTCATAGTGCTCTCTGATTAGCCAAAAGCAGGCAGGGAAGCCGGCTCATGCTGTACCCTTTGCTGTCCAACCCTGCATGGCAGTGCCATAGCAATGAAGTTTGGTGCCTGGGGCAAAGTCCGCAGCAGCAGCCCACCCTCACCCCACACACAGATCCAGGGGGCACATCACCCCCCGTGCTTGCCTGGGAGTGCATGCAACAGCAGGAGCCACCCTTCCCCCATCCCCGTGACCCCCAAAATGAGCCTCTCATGGCTCCGTCCCATGTCCTGCCCCAGCTGGGCAGTGCTGTTGGTGCCCCTTCGCCTTGGTGCCCGGGGTGGTCGCCCTGCTCACCCCTCCCTTGCTAGGGTACTGCTGTATGGTGTCACCCAGAAACAGAGGTGTGCAGGCCAGATGGAACTTTGCAATCCTATGGGAGGAGAAAATCTGGCTGCTTTGTGTTATTTGGGCTCTTTCTGAAAAATGCCCAAGCAACGTCAGTAAAGGGTAATACTCAAGTTGCTTAGGAGCCTAAACCCCATGTTCAAAAGGGACTAGCCCATTGAAATTGATGGGGTAGGCACTTCACCTGATTAAGTGCTGTTGAAAATTCCACTGGGCTCTGTGTGTGTGTGTGTGTGTGTGTGTGTGTGTGTGTGTGTGTGTGTGTGTGTGTGTGTGTGTGTGTAGGAGTCCAAAACCTTTTGAAAAATTGGTCCTCTGCCTAAGTTACTTTTGAAAATGGGAACAAGTTGCTTTCAAAAAATCTTCCTTTAAGCTCCAAAATGCAATGGCCTTCTTTTGGAGCATCAAAGGAAGAACTCAATATATACACATATGCAAATGCTTTGACTCTGACTCTGCTGCCTAACTACCATCATGTGAAAACATGAGCCAGCAATAACTAGAGACAGATGCTAGCAGAAAGACTGATCAGTAGTTATTTAACTGGGCTGCCCTCAGGACTCAAGGTCCTTGTGCCAATCTGAGGGTCTTGCTGCTTGGGAATTGATTATTTCAAAAGTAGAGCCAAGACACTGAAGCTACAGGAATGATTCATGAAATCTTGACACCAGCACTTGAATCCCACTGCTGGGTAGTGTTCTAGAACACTCAGCGCTGGTGTGCAAGATAATTGTGAGTTTTCTATGACCATTTCACGAAAGTTCTTCCCACAATCTGCAAGGAGGGAGAAACCTCGGCCTGCCCTGCCAGTATCCTGCCTTCTCTTCCCAGTTTTGTTTTTTTTTCCCCCACCCCCGTAATAAAAAGAGAACAGAAGAGAAGCCAGGGCTATCTGTATATACTTGGACTTCAAAGGACAAAAGAGGTAAATTATTTTCTGTTCATCTAGTTGGGAATTTTCCAGTTTTGTCTTTTCTTTCCTGGTTTAGGTTCACTAATTTGTTATACTGGTTCTGAGTGAATTTAGCAGCATAACTTCCAGGTGTGTCTATAGGATCAGGGTTGAATCCAAATTTTGCACCTCATTGCGAACTGAAGTTAAGAGGATCGTACTAACAAATAATTTTCTCTGTAGGGCATAAATGGTTCAATATTTCTGGGCTGGTATACTTTCAACTTTTTTCTTAAAATAACACCTTGATATATAAATGATTAGTAAAGACTGACGGCAATCACATATTATTAGGGAAGGTACACAATCATGTAAAAAGTGCAAGTATTCTGTCAGCTCCATGAACCACAGCTCCATGAACAACTAACACAAAGATTGTTGGAATTTACCAGGCATTATATAAAGGAAAGCACAGTTCAAACCTACCCCAGCCAAATTCCAGAGACAATTCTGCTAATTCCCCTCACAAATTCATTTTGGAGATTCAGCATACTTATTACTTAGGACACATACCTTGAGAAGGAATCTTAGGGCCTCATTACATGTTAATTTTAGGTGGCTCCTGGAGCTCTTAACCCCTGCATTAGCCACATGTTAACACCTGAAACTAGTTCCAAGCACACTTTAGGCAGCTTAAAGTTACACCACTCCAGGGCAGATTTATCTCTGATCATTGGTGACATGTAGGGGGGTGCATGCGGGTGCATGTGCACCCCCTGAAATCAGCCTTGCACCCCCTGGAAATGCCAGCTGCAAAACCATAAGTGCCAGTGGAAGTGCACTTCTGGTTTCACCGCTGGTTCAGTGATCGGCAGCTGGGGGACACCCTCCCGCCCCCCTCAGCGATCTGGTGCCCCCCCAGACTCAGGAGGCACCAGTCACCCATGTCTGTGATCCATGTTACCTAGCTCATGTTCCATTAATGTGTGGCCACTCCCAACAAATGAACTGCCCAAGCTGCAGTCCTTCAGCATCTCAGGATGCAGTGTCTCTTCCATACCCTCCTTTTCTGTGTGGACAAATTTTCTTGAACTCTACTGCCCTAGAAGGTGGTGCTAGCACTAAGCCAACTCCCCCTTCAACCTCTGGTGATATGACCTTTCCACTTGCAGGGGTACAACCCTGGCAAGCAGCCTGCAGAACACATACCAGCTAGCCAGGTTGCAGGGCACAGATAGGTCTAGGAGTGGGTTTTAGGGGGAAATTAATTTTTAAATTCGGGGGGGGGGGGGGGGGGTTTTTTTTTTTTTTTTTGTTCGGGGGGGGGGGGGGGTTACTTCTTTTTATTTTATCCTTCAGAGGCTGCCTTCCTTCATTTCACCATGCTTCCCCAACCCCAATTTCTTTTCCACTTCCCATTTTATTACCCGCTCCATCCCATTAACTCTCCACCTCCTAGCTTCATGTTCTTACCCCCCAAAACCCATGTCTCACACACCATCACCTAGAGCAGGGATAGAAATCTGTCCTGGTCACCGGCCCTTCAGCAGCAACTCACAGTTACAGCTCCTGGTCTTGCCCCTGATCACTAGGCTTCTCAGTGGCAAGGCACAGCTGTGCAGGGTGGGGGAAGTCAGAGAAGTCTGTTAGGTTTAAGGTGTGTCTGCTCCAAACTTGAGCTAGCACTAACAGTTATCAACATTTGAGTAGATCTAAGTTCAAGGTGTAACAAGGCCTTTAGAACACAGTTCTACTCTGTCTACTGACCACAAGAAATTCTGAAATTAACATTTACGAGCATTTTTGGGGAGCCACATGAACTGCAGTCGCAACATGATTTTAAATGTACTTGGGAATATCTAGGAGCAAGTGTGTTTCCTTGATCCTAGAGAAGCAATAATCCATAAAAAGCTTTGTAGTAAGGAAGCTATTGGGATATAGGCAGAGTGCTACTGGTCTCACATCTTCAAGCACTGAACATGCTTATCTCAAAATTTGCATCCTGATGTAGCATATTGGTGTTGAAAATGTCTTTGAAGAACTACTGGAACTGTCTAGAGACGTGATAACTGGGTACTCTGAAGAAAAAAACATCAAGTCCCTAAAACCAGTTATCTTTAGATAAAGAAATTAAAACTCCTAAATGGCCATTTGCAATGTTATACATGATACCTCACATCTACAAGTCCATTTATTAAGCAGATATTAATTTGTGGCATAATGTGACCATACAGTAGATCTTTCCAAGATACAGGCAGAATGTTATCTAGTTTCTTTGCATATCCTAGTTTTAGCAGGAAGATTCCAACTGGGCAACCTACACAGTAGGTTCCTGGTTGCGTTGCCTTCAAAAAGGAAACTCCAGAGCTCTCTAGTGAGTCCTTCATGTTGCAACAATATGATTTTCTTTTTTATAAAATGAGTGCGCAGTATATACATGACAAGGTAGCTTGAGGGGTGTAGGTTGTAGCCGTGTTGGTCTAAGGACATAGGCAGACAAGGTTTTTTGGGTGAATCTGATATCTTTTCTCATCTAATAAAAGATATCAGATTCACCCAAGGTCGCTTGACAAGTTTGGAGACTGGCATATTGTGTTAAGCCCTAACCCCTTTTAGTTTTTCGAGCTCATCTGAGGGAAGAACTATTTCAGCCGACTAAAAGTAGGCTTTTTCTTCTTATGGCATTTCCCTCCATCCACTTCCTTTATAATTTGCCTAACCTTAACATAGAGGAGTGATGAGAAGAGATAAAGCTAAAATCCAGCAAAACTTTACTCACACAGATAATTCTGACTTACATGATTAGGTTTTACCTTATATGTTTCTATTGTATAATTTGGTGGAATTTTGTGGAGAGGCGGAGAGAGGAAGAGTACGGCTTTGTTCTTCCTGTGCATTGAAAATCCTTCTGTAGTACAGATTGCCCTGGTGTACTTTAATGCAGTATAGTCTGAAAGGGGAGTGTAAAATATCATATGGGCTTACCTGTTCAGAGGCTTATCCTTAAATCAGTCTGTACACAGGAGTCTCACTGAAATCAGAAGAACACAGAAAGGATTGGATCCTTATTTCTATAGTCCAGGAGGTTTCAAACTGTGTTTTGTGGAGCCCTGGGATTCTGTGAGAGGTCATAAAGAGATTGGGGGTAATGGCAGAGCAGACCAGGAGACAGTGTATCACCACTGCCAGGTCAGGTCGCCTGGCTCCATGTCAACTTATGCAGCCCCCAGAGCCAGGGGAAGGGGTTCTATGGTAGAAGAAGTGATGCAAAAAAGTTCTTTGATTTTTGGAAGTTTGAAAACTACTGCCACAGTAGATTTGTATCACTCAAAGTCAAAGAACAATGATTTTTTTTTTTAATGTTCAGTGCTATAAACTAAAACTTAGGATGTTCCTTTTCCTATACTTCACCAACAAGAACCAAGGATTTTGAAGCTGGAATTTCATTGATGTGGTGAGGGAGGAGAAAAACCAACTCCCTCTTCTGTAAATGTAGTAGCTGAGAGAAGCTAACTGCATTCACTTCCAACTGAGAAACTAGTGGTCTGCTCACTACAACTCCATGCATGGCAAATCCTGGAAATGAGATGAGAGCTACTTTAGAGTGTCACTCGATACGTGTCCAGCTACACTCTTAGGCATCTACATTGCTCGATCTCTAGAATTTGTCATAGGTCAAGCACAGCCAGTGAGCATTGTATGCCTCCATGCAGTGTGGTGTGGACAGAAGTGTGGAAGACTGCTGGGGTGCACAATACAATGACCAGTGACAGAGAGCAGGTAAACCTGGGGCCTGCTTTACAGTGAATGATATGACTGGGCAGGGAAACAGATCCCTTTGAAATATCAAACAAGTCCTGGTTCTGGATACTGGGAAATGCCCTCTTTATCACTTCAAGAGGGACCTCAATAGCAGGATTCAGCTGTCCTGTCCCCATTACTGAGAGTATTCACCTTATAGGAAATGTAGCAAGACTGATATCCAAGGAAAATCTCATCAAACAGCTGTGTATTACCTCAGTAATACCATGCTGCTGGCAGCAGTGGCCCTAGGGGAGGTACAAAACATGGTTCCTTCAACACAGATCCATTATGCCTACAACTAGCCTTTGGGTGTAGTACAATTTCAGGGCCAGGTTGAGAATGTTTTTTTGAAACTCTCAAAAGAAAAAGAACTCTTCTTCTTTCAAAGAATATATTATTAACGCTTCTACTTTCTCTTTAGGCTTTGTAACCAGCTCCCACTATGGGTGACAGAGTTTGGGTGGGAACCTGGAGACCACATCGGCCAAGGATACCAATAGCAGCCCGGTATACTGGTCCAGGACCCAAGTACTCAATACAGGGAACAACAGGTAAAAAGCACAGACAGATACAGAACTCTAGGGAACCTGGTTCATAGTAATAATTTAAACACAAAGTTTAGATCAGTTCAGATCATTCATTTTGTGTACACTCACATATATTTTATTTAAATAACTTCACTATCTTTGGTGTGACAATTAGTATAACTTTTCCCACATTGCTGCTGAATATTAGTAATTTTTTTTTTTTTTTATAACCTAGCAGAAAGAACTGAGTGACTCTACTTAGTACACACCTACCTGATACTACTTCAAATAGTGTTTTAATATCAATCATTCTTCTAATTTTCTCTATGACAAATAGATTTTATTGCTGAGATGGTAAATTTTCATGACAAAAGCACAAGGCTGAATTAGGCACAAATTTCCACAGACCAGGGATTGCAAAAAGTGAAAGTTTTTGGGAAATTCATAAAGAATATTACTTTTACGATTAATTGCATTTTCCACCATCCGTGACTTGCTCCGCAGAGAATTCAAGGCAAGGTAAGCTGCCTGTCTGTGACACCAAGAACTTAAAGATGGTTGTTTGCAAAAGGCAGCTAGTATTGGCTCTTCTCTTCTTCTGCCTCATGCTTGTGTAAATTGCAATTGGCTTTTAATACCTTTTTCTAAGGCATCCATCACTGTAGTTTCTAACATAGAACAGAAATATAATTCATTCAGAAGGAATTGTCTAAATCAATTTTTAAAATATCAGTTACTGCTGCTTCATTAAGTGGCAATTGCTGCTTTTGGTGTGAAATTACCATGTTAGCAACGTAATTGTACCTACAAGCATCAGAATTCATGACAGGTAACATCTCTTATTAGAATGCATTAGAAAGACACCCCCCCCCCCTCCCTCTGCGACAATTAGTTATAAGAATTTTTTACATTTACTTCTCATTAATTTGAAATCTGGTTAATTAACTTCTGGTTAATTTTGACACTGATCACAGATAGCAATTTTCTCAGACTTTGCAGTCCTGTCATTAAGATGGTGTCTTCCTGTCAGAGCTCTAACACATATTGTTTAAAGAATTCCTCTTCTGTATGACTGAACAATTTTTTGTGCAGTTTAAAAATTTTAGTGCAGTCACTTTACTTTGAAAGGGACCTTAGGTTTCATCTATACTTGGAAAATAACTATCATGGAATATCTATTTTACTATATTTCCAAACCCTTAGTCACTGGTATGAGAACAAAACCGGACAGCTCATTTTTTCATAGAATCATAAAAATCAAGGGCTGGAAGAGACTTCAAAAGATTATTGATTCCAATCCTCTTGCTCTGGGCAGGAATACTGCTGAGATCAAATGATCCCAGCAAGGTGTCTGTCCAGTCTCCTCTTGAAGACTTCCAAGGTTGGGGACTACAGCGCCTCCTTGGGAAGTCTATTCCAGATTCTGGTCACCCTTACCATAAAGAAGTTCTTCTTTCCTTACATCCAACCTGAAACCATCCTTTAACAATTTATGGCCATTGCTCCTTCTTCTCCCCTGGGGCACCCTAGTGAACAGTTTTTCTCCTGGCTCCTGATATTCACCTTTACATACCTATAGATGGCCACCAAATCCCACCTCAGTCTTCTTGTCCCCAGGCTGAACAGTCTCACATCCCTTAGTCTTTCCTCATAAGGTTTGTCCTACAGGCCCTTAATCATTTTGTGGCCCTTCTCTAGACCCTTTCAAGATTTTCCACGTCTTTTTTGAAGTGTGGCACACAGAACTGGACACAACTGGGGTCTCACCACCACCAAGTAGAGGAAGTATCACTTCCTTAGCTCTGCTTGCAGCACATCAACTAATGCATTTCAGTATGTTATTAGCTCTGTTGACTACAGCATCGAACTGGTGGCTCATGTTCATCCAGTGATCAGCCATAACCCTGAGATCCCTTTCAGTCATCGTGCTGGCCAGGATATCTCCTCCTAACCTATATTCATGTTGGTAGTTACTTCTGCACAAATGAAGTACTCTGCATTTATCCTTATTGAACTGCATCTGGTTCTGTTCCACCCACCTTTCCAGCTTGCCCAGGCCTGTTTGTATCCACATCCTATCCCCTAGTTTAACCACTTTTCCCCATAACTTAGTATCATCTACAAACTTGACCAGAATGCTTTCCACCTTCTCATCTAAATTGTTGACAAAAATGTTGAACAGCATGGGGCCAAGAACCGGACCCTGTGGGACACCACTGGCCACCTCCCGCTAAAATGATACAGACCCATCCACTAACACTCTCTGGGTTTCAACCCTTAGCCAGTTCCCAACCCACCTGACTATGGACTCTGCCAGCCCACAATCCCCCAGTTTTGTTTTGTTTTTTTATAAGAGTCTCATGGGGGACCATACTGAAGGCCTTTTTAAAATCCACATATATGACATCAACTGCATCTCCCACATCTAAGCGGTTTGTTACTTGATCATGGAGGATGAGATTGGTCAAACATGACCTACCCAAACCATAATGACTATCCTTCAGCATCATGCCCTCTGCCAGTCTCTCACAAATGGACATTTTGATCATTTTTTCCAAAATTTTACCTGGTATCAAGGTCAAACTAACTGGTCTATAGTTTCCTGGGTTCTCTCACATCCCCTTTTTAAAGACTGGCACCACATTGGCCCTTTTCCAGTCTTCTAGAAACTCTCCCAAACACCACAAGTTTTCAAATCCTTCACCAACGATCCTGCAGTGACTCCAGCTAATTCCTGCAGCACTCTCAGGTGTAGTACATCCGGTTCTGCTAACTTGAAGACATTCAGTTGCTTTAAGTGCTCTCTCACCAGTTCAACACTAATCATTTCTTGGCAACTGCCCCCCTGCATCCATCCAGTATTTGACCAGGTGGGTGATCACCATTTGTATGCAGGAACACCAGTGCAAAGTATTCATTAAACAGTTTTGCTTTCTCCTGACTGTCTGTTTTCAGCTGTTCCGTCCCATTCTGCAAGGGCCCCACATTTCCCTTCATCTTCCTCCTGCTCCCTATATACCTAAAGAAGAACTTATTATTGTCCTTGATATCGGTCACCAACCTGATCTTGGTTACCACCCTTGCCTTCCTTATCATCTCCCTACAAACATAGGCTATACTTGTGTATTCCTCCTTGGTGACTACCCCTTGTTTTCATTGTCCGTAAGTCTCCTTTTTCTTTTTTAAGCACTCCTTGACTCTGCTGGTAAGCCAAGAGGACTCCCTGGGCCCTTTTCACCTTTCCTGAATGACCTTTGCTGCTCTCTGAGGATTGTTCCTTTGAGGAATGACCACCTTTCCTGAACTCCCTTCCCCTCCAGTCCCTCTTCCAATAGGGTCTCTCCCACTATTTTCCTAAGCTCATTGAAGTCAGCCTTCCTGAATTCAAGCACCTCTGCCTTACTGACTGAGTTCCCTGCCCTATGATGGATAATGAATTCTATCATCTCATGATCACTGTCTCCCAGATTACCCTCAGATCTCCCACCAGGTTGTCCCCTTTGACTAGAACAAAATCCAACAAAGCCTTCCCCATGCTCAACCCTTTCACCTTCTGAACTAAATAAAGTTCTTCCACTCAGGTCAAAAATCAACATGACCAGTCAGATCTGGCCAAGTGCTCTTCCCAGCACATGTCAGGGTAACTGAGAGCACCCATGAAAACTATGTTGTTTAAATGTGCAGCCGCCATCAGTTCTCTGAAAAATTCCAGATCCAGCTCCTCCTCCTAGTTTAGCAGTCTGTAGTAGACACCTATTGCTGGGTGAAAAATCTGAGATACATAGAATCTGAAAAAATGTGTGATATACTGAATATATGTCCTACAAAACAAAAGGAAACACAGTGTCCTGAAAGGGAATTTCATGAGGCCAAAGACTCAAATAACTTTAGCACTGTAATACAAAGGGAATTTAAAATGTGACTTGGTCAACACATAGAAAATGTAGCCTTTCTTCCTAGGTTACATGAAGCACAATCCAACCAAAAAGAAAGCCCCTGCTTATAGTATTAGTGGGACAAGGCCACATTGCAAAGAAAGCTGCTCTCCAGGTCCTCGCTACTATGTGGCCTCAATGACCAGAAGGGGGAAGGAAGTTGCCCCAGCTTATACCATATCTGGACGTCCCATAGTGAAAACAGAGATCACCCCTGGACCAAGTGAGTAGCACATCTCTAGCAGGCTATCCAAAGTGAGGATAGCATGTCCGTGATCTCCCTCTCTTAACAGATTGGAAACTTTAGAACATTTTTTAGAATAAAGTATGTATATCCTCAAACAGAAACAGCTCCAATGCTGGGGGGGATGAAATGTGGGAGGAGCAGCCACATAGGACCATGGGGCAGAGATACAGAAGGAATGGCATGTGGACAGAAGGGCTAGAATGCAGAACTAGAACAAGAGGGGAATTGGTGGTAAGCACTTGCTGTAGGACAGGGGAGGGCAATTATTTTGAGTGGAGGGCCACTTACTGAGTTTTGGCAAGCCATCGAGGGCCGCATGACAGGCAGCCAGGGGCAGATAAATATTCATTTTCTAAACTTTTAGGGGCCCTGTGGGCTGGATAGAATGGCCTGGTAGGCCACATCTGGTCCACAAGTCACATTTTGCCCACCCCTGCTGTAGGAGGTAGGAGAAATGCCAATACCGGACCATGGGGACAGGATGTGTGGGAAAAGGCAATACAGTGTGATGAGTCAGATGGAAGCCCTAGAATTTTGTATGCTGAACCTACAGACCAAGTCATTTGCTTTGGATGCTTTTAAGGACAAGCTGTCATTACTGTTGTTTTGTTCTACTCTTGTCTAGGTGATTACTCACCAGAGAAGTCAAGAAAACATGTCTATCAATGTGCTCCTATTCACTCCATTTCCTTTAGATCTAAAAGCTTCAGAGTAGACAGCACTCCAGGTAAAAAATCCATTAACTAATAAATAAATCTGATGTAGGACTCCTGTTGTTGAAACCTGGCCTGAAGGCAGATAGTCCTGAGTCTGATTCCAGAGGAAAGTATTCTGATACAAGATAAAAGCTTCAAAAGGATCCAGTGTTATACCCAGAGCTAAGTGGGATTGTCATCAAGATTAACAGACTAAAATGTGAAACAACTTCATTTGCTTAGGTGCATTTGAAAATAATATGCAAATCCTTTTTCCTTTTAGCCCTGACATGCAGGTCTTATTTTATACTTGGCTGCTTCGCCCACCAGAACTTCTGCTGGCTGACAGCAGGTGTTATAGGAACATGCTCACTGCCATGCTGTTCCAATATGGCAGCCACCAGGATGCAAAGCAAGTCCTAGGGAAATACAGCTGCTTAAGGGACTACAGCAGTTGGTATGTATAGACAGTCTTCTGCCTTCTACTAGCTTCTAGATGGCAGCAGAAGTCTTCATCACAAGGAAAAGTGACTTTACTCTTCCAGAATAGACTGGGTTCTGCCACCAAAGACTAGCTTTTCGGGCTGTGCAAAATTTTGCTGGCTGTCTCATTTCAATGCTATTTCAACTCATTTTGAGCTCGAAACAGCAAAATCAAAATGAAATGAAGGGCTTTGAAACAGCTTTGAAACTAAATGAGGGTAGTCAAAACATTTCAGAAGTTTCGCAACATTTCGAGTTTTGAAGCTGAAGCTGGGCTTGCTTGCAAGGAAACAGAAAGTAAGGAAAGGGAGGGGGAAGAGCACAGTGAGGGCACGCCTTAACACATGCTGGGAAAGAAGCTCCTGCAGGAGAGGGAAGAAGAGCTCTGCCACAGTTTGGCTGCCTGAGATGCTGCTGGTACTACTGTGAGAGTGTTCACTAAGTGATTTTATACCTGTTGTCATTTAAGCAGTGGACCGGCCTGAGGCTGTAGGGGGGGAGGAGGCCTCATTGGGGCAGTGTGCCATGTGTCATGTAGAGGCCCCAGCACCAGCGAATGCACCCCTTAACATAAACATGCAGTCACACGTCATGAGTTTTGCTTGTCAGCAGTTTCTGAGAAACCCCTGTGCCTATCTCCTTGAAAGCTGGCAGGCTTAATGCCCACAGCAGAGGCTACCATACCTGCAGTTTTCACCCCCCTATGCCTTCACACTTAAAAGTGACACAAGTTTTGCTGTCAAGATTTGAGGTGCAGTTTCCCAGAAACCCCTGCACTTATCTCTTTCAAAATTGGCAGGCTTTATGCTCTCAGAAGGGGCTACCATCCCTGCTGCTTTCATCTAAATCTGCCAAAAAATGACAAAGTTATAGGCAGTGTTGTGCTTCCCCATTATAGCCTATGGGTGAAACATCAAAACAGCTTTGAAATGATGAAACAGTTTCGATGAAACAAAATGGAACAGTGCTTTCAAAATGAACTGAAACTCAAAACAAAACACTGTTCTGTCGAAATGGTGAAATGGAAGTCGAAACGAAACAGTGCTGTTTCGCACAGCCCTAGTAGCTTTGATTGCAGGCCCTGACAAACCATGGAGCCATCTGAGCAGTCAGTGTTAAACCAAACCAATGAGTACCTAGGTGAACAGTGGCAAATGCACACTAGTTCAGAAGAAAATCCTGCAATACTCTAATTAACATTTGCACAGTCCAGAATGGGGAAACAATGTTTGTGTTTGATGTTTGTTAAGTTCATGCATATATAAATGATAAATCCAGTGCATGCTGAAAACAGGGAAAACAAAACCATAAATAAATAAATAAATAAATAAATAAATAAAACAAGCACACTGGTCATGGAAAGATATACATTTGAACTGCTCCAAATTCTCCTTCAGAGCACTTCAGGTTGATGTGAAGCCCCCAACTCTGTCCTCCCACTAGACCACTTAAAAAAAATCACTGCAAACATGCAAGAGCCTGCTCTTCAGTCAGCTGGGTGCAACAGAGATTTGCTTGGCTCTGTGACTCCACTCCCTACCCACCCAGGGAGCAAGGGGCTGGAATTGGAATAGACAGCTAATGTTCTTCTGTGCTCTCAGCTTCTGGTCTCCTGGTCCCAGAGCCTGAGAGCCAGGCAAGAAATTGCTCTGCTCCTACTCAGAATACGTGGCGCTCAGACTCCCAAGACCACCAAGAATGGCTGAAAGCACAGAAGAGCAGGTGATGTGAGAAAATATGGAGAAGTCAATGGGAGTCCTGTGACAAATACACAATACTTTGAAAAATGCTCCTTTCTGTGTGTATTGTTTAACAAGGCAATCATCTCTTATGAAATAATAAAAATAAGAAAGAAAAAATATATTGTGATAGTGCCCCAGCCCATCATAGAGAAGGGCCTTCTTGTAACTTGGCCTGGACAAAACACAGGGTGTGATGACAATGCTGTTCCCCAATAGCTTACTGTTTAAGTGCATGAGCAGAGCAGGGGGATTATCAAACATGTTGATAATTTAAGACACGGCAATTAGCATGAGGCTAGGCTACTACAGGCTTTGAAGGCCAAGAGAAGTCTTCTGTGCTTGTGGCATCAGATAAGGCAGGATCAGAATACTGATGCAAAGGACAAAGCAGTCAGCCAAGAAAGTCCATTTTGCTGCTGTAAAACATGCTAAGTGAAGCATCCCACAACCTCAGAAAAATGAAGATGGGTCCTGTCCACAAAGGCAAAAAAAAACAGATTATATGATAGTCCCATGAGGCTACTACAGTATTACAAACTGGTGCCCCAACATGGTTGGAATTGTTTTCTCCCCAGCCTCAGTTTGAAAATGTCTTCCCTGTCTAGATGTGCTATCTAATCCTTGACCACTCATGCTGAATGTAATAATTATTATCCTTCTCTCCTGCCAGGTCCTGCCAGATATACAATCCCTAAGATGTTGGGCCCCAACACAGTGGACAAAACAGCTAGTCCTTGCTATTCCATGAAATGGAAAAGTAACATAGGTTATTTTTATGAGGATCGCCATAAGGTAGGCTGCCTTTCTACCTCCTTTCCAAGTATTCTTATCAGTAACCAGAGGCCCCCTCCAAAACTGAAGGGCTCCAAATATTGTTGGGTCCTTTCTTAACATACAAATACAAGCAGATCCAAGCACTCAGTTTGCACATGAACAGTGGTATCCAGAGTCCTACTTACTGTACCATCAAGACAGGGTGCTTCTATACTTGCAGCATCTACCTATCCAAAGGACATGACTCAAATACCATCAAAATCAATGATACTCCCAAAGTCTTCAAATTTGACCTAGTCTTTCTACCAACCCCAATCATAAAATTATAGAAAAGTAGGGATGGAAGGAACCTCAAAAGATCATCTATGCTAACCCCCTGTTCAAGGCAGGATGATGCCTGATTAAATAACCCAATCAAATGTTTGTCTAACCTGCTTCTGAAAACGTCTAAGGATAGAAATTCCATAAACTCCTGAAGTAGTCTGTTCCAGTGCTTAACCACCCTCATTGTGAGCAAGTTCTTTCTAATATCCAATCTACATTTCTTCTGCTGCAATTTAAGAATGCTACTCCTTGTCCTGTCCCTCAGGTATATGAAGACTGTTATTAAATCTCTCCTCAGTCTTCTCTTCTCCAGGCTAAATAATCCCAATTCTCTCCATCTTTCCTCAGAAATCATAGTTTCCAAGCCTCTAATAATTTCTGGCACTGGGAAGGTATGGTATGGAAATGGGAATGGGATGGTACTGGTGAGAGTTCAATTTTCTGGACTTCAGTGTCGAGCTGGTTCATAACTTGGTAAAGGGCAACTTTCAGTTCCATAAGATGCAGGATACAGCTAAGGGATCACCTGTCTTGGATTTTGTCCTGATCAATAGGGAAGAACTGGTGGAAAATTTGACGGTGATAGGTAGCTTGGGAAGAAGCAATAAGAAGATGCTAAAATTACAGTAGGTGTGCAAACATGATTCACAAGATAACCCAGAGATTTCAAAGAGGAATCCATAGTATTAAAAGCATTCTTATTTCTTGTGGCCATTCTGAGTTCTTTGTGAAAGAAGAATTTCTATATTATTTTTCACTAGCCAGAAATCTAGTGAAAACTAAGAGCTGACATTTTCTGAGTGATGCCCTGGGTCTATCAAGAGGTCCCCTGAGTCTAGAAAAGTTGAGAACTACTATATTAAATCCCTTGGCTTTCTCTGCATCACTTATTAGTAGACTGCCCTCTGTGTTCAATAAAGAACCTACACTTCCCTTTGGTCTTATTTCTTATTTATTCTCTTTTATGTTCCTCGCTACTTGCAACTCGAATCATGCCTTGGACTACCTGGTTTTCTCCTTGCATGCCCATGTGATTCTCTTATATGCTTCCCTAGTAATATGGACACATTTTCACTTTTTCTATGATTCCTTTTTGGGTTTCAACTCAGTGAAAAGTTCTCTGTTTAGCCAGGCCAGTCTCTTGCTGAACTTCCTTTTCTTTCTTTGGATTGGGATAGCTTGTTCCTGTGTCTTTAATAAGGCCTCCTTCAAGTACAACCAGGTCTCTGGAACTTCTTTTTCCCCCCCTCAGTTTTGCCTCCCACGGGATCCTGAGTCTGTTAAAAGTCTGTTTTTCTGAAACCCAGTCTTTATTCTGCTGTTCTCCTCAATTCCTTTCTTTAGGATCTTGAACTCTTATCATTTCATAGTTACTGTTACCCATTACCTTCCAATTTCTCTCTGTTCCTCCCCATTTCTGAGTGACAAATCAAAAAGAGCTACCCTGTACTTGGTCTGTCCATCACTGGTACCAAAAAGTTATCCCTGACACACCCCTAAACTTGATGGACTGTCTCACACCAGTAGTTTTCATCAGTAATTATAGTTTCCCTGAAAACTAGGTCCTGCAATTTGGAAACTGCAGTTAATTTAAAAAAAGATTCATTCACTTCTTTCTGGTTTGGTGGTCTATGGCAGACACCCACTGTGACATTACCCTTACTGTGATGGGAGGGGAGAAATCCTCTTGCCTTGATGCAGAAGCTTTTAATAAGCCTGCTCCAGCAACCTTTGAGTCATGGGCCAGAACAACCTGCTCAAGTCCGACATGGGCCAGGTGATTTCAGCAGTGCATCAGTGATGGGGGCTTTGCCTGAGCCACACCAGGACCAGGCAGTTGGGAGCTGCTCCCAAGGCACCAGCTTCTTCCAGGTCCTTGGCTGTAGTATGGGTGCAGATTGTAGCCAGTGGGAAGCTGCATTGGTGCTCATCACCTTCCAGCTGTATCTGCACTACAGCTGCTTCTCCCCCTCTCCACTTCTCAGCAGTGGTAGCACAGGCATAGGAACAGGTATAGTCAAAACCCTTCAGCTCTGAAGGCTGAAACCAGTGGCTCTGTGAGCTGAACATTGTCAAACCCTGGCTTACCCTGTTCTGCAACTCAGAATAAGATTATGTCTCTATATATAGGGCAATACCCCCACCTTTTCCCTCCTGCCTATATAAGCTATACCCATTCATGACAGTACTCCCATCATGTGAACTCTCTCTCCCCAGCTCTATTATCCCAATTACATCGTACTTTCACTATTGCATTAGGACTTCCAATTCTTCATGCTTATTCCACATGCTCCTTGCTTTAGTATATAAAAATGTAGGTAAAATCATGTTGACTGACCACCCCTATGAAAAAGGAGATGGGATGGGAGGGGAGGAGAAGAAAAAATCATCAGGATGTACATAATGCAATATTAGTCTGGAGGAAAAAATATCTATTATTTTTAAGGTTAGAGCCCTACTTACATACCAGAACCCTACTGTGCTTGGTATTGTCCAAACAGTGGCTTTAGTGTCCTAGTTTTAGAATAGCTGCTACTGAAAATGCAGCCACAAGAGTTTAAACCCAAATTTCTCTGCCATCTGTAAAGAATTGCCCTTGAAACACCTGCAATGATCCCCATCTCCAAATTAAAAACCTTTTTCATTTTTTAAATACCTGTTATACTGACAATTGAAATGCTACCAAATGCAAGTATAAATGCTACACAATGACATCTGAAGGATCCTAGGTTTCTTAGAGCAGACAACAACAGCTGTGTTTCAATTACTTTTGTTACAATTGGTATATATAAGAAAGCTCAAGGCTGTGTTAGCACAGCCAGATAGTACTTGGGGATTGTTAGAGCACAATTAACCCTTAAATGGAACATGAAATACAAATGAAGACAACTCTGTGTCCTAAAATCAAAATGTAGATGACTCAGTGTCTTAAAATCAGTCTTGGACAACTCGGTGTCCTGAAATCAAAGTCTAACTTTATTAGTACAACAAGTATTATCATCTCAGCAGTTCTTATATTCAGAGAGAAAAAAACCAATCAGTACAATAATTTCACCCAAACCCAGATGTTACTTTGCTCTGACAGAAAAGATGGCCACTCATTTCCTGGAAGCAAAGGGTACGTTATGGGCTGGAAGGGTCCAGACAGGTGTTGAAAGCTAGATTTCTGATGATGATGAATTTTTTTTGCTCCCTGCTTTTATGCTTTTCTTCAACTTCACTTCTTTGATGACTCTCTCCTTTCGGATTGGTCTCTTTGCACTCAGCATATTCCTTTGTCTAACACACCCATTACAAGCACACCTCTTAAATTTGGCCTTTTTCTGGTGTCTTACTTTGGGAATTGTTCATTTGTCTTCCTTATCACCTTTCATTAATATAGCCAATTCTTCCATCCCTCTGATTCAGCTGGTTTGTGCCAAGTTCAGTTAATTGAAGCTAGTAACAAGGCCATTGCTATGTTATGTTAAAATAACTTCTCAGTGATAAAAAAGAAAAGATATAATATAATGAGCACCTATGAGCTCTACAAAAACAACTCAAAGCCAACTAATAATAAAAAACAAAAAGTTAATACGGACAAAACTTAAGCAATGATTCAACAAGGCTAAACTATAAACAACACTATAAGCAGGTGCAACTTGAAAGCATTAAACATAAAAGGCTACCCTAACAGCTGGAAACAGATTTCAAAACAATTAATGGAAACTTCTGAAGGAGTTGCAAACGATAAAAAGAGAAAACTTGCTCTTCAGGCAAATTGTTAACTTTGCTTACATGCTATGATAACATTTTCCTATCAAGCTTGGTGCAATTCTCAGGGGAGGCTGGGGGGTCCTCAATGTTGATGTATTCATCTGAAAGATTTCACTGTCTCTTACAGACACCAGGTCCTGCTGCATATAACAGGCCAAAGCTTGATGCATACAAACACAGAGCACCTGAGTACAGTATGAGCTCACCAAGTAGGCCTCCAGGAGACAGAACTTTGCATCCTGGACCTGCAGCCTACAATATAGGAAAGGTAAGACAAAAAAGCCCTTGTTTCCCTTTTCCTCCTTTCAGTAGCTGGCCTTTATTGTCTCAGCATCTCCTTCAATAGTTTTTGTGAACTAGGGTTAGTAGCTAAATTTACAGGACTAACAATTAGGCCTGTGCGAGTCGGCAGCAATCGGATCCAGCCACTTCAGATGGCCGCGATCCGATCCGGAGCTCCGGACTGGGTTTCCATCTCAATCTGGCCAAAGCTTCGCAGCTGTCTTGGAGATCCGGCCATAGGGTATAATGGGGGAATCAATGAAATGTCTATAACTTTGTTGTTTTTTGTCCAATATGGATTAAACATGCAGGGAAGGTAGCCTCTGCTGAGAGCATGAAACCTGCCAAGTTTCAAGAATATCGGTTGAGGGATTTGGGAGGAACTGTACCCCAAATTCTTGAAAGCCAAACTCGTGTCTTGGCTGTGCGTTACAACACAGGGGGGTGAAAACTGCAGGGGTGGTAGCTCTTACTGAGGCCATGAAGCCTGCTCTTACTGAGGCACATCAAGCTGCGGACAAGCAAATCTCATGCCACGGGTGACACTGAGTGTGTTCAGGCGCAGCAGGGTGACAGCTGCAGTGATGGTGGCCCCTGCTGAGGCCACGACACCTGCCAGGTGTCGAGGAGATCAGTGCAGGGGGGTTCTGGGGCCCTGCACCCCTAGCTGCTGACAGGCAAAACTCATGCCAAGACTGTGTCTGTCTTGGGGCAGTTGATTGTCTGTATTGATTCTTCCTCTCCTTAGCCTGGTCTTGTAGGTGCTAATTGATGCTCGTTAAGTCGTTATGTAGTAGCTAGGTCCTGTGTATTGAGCTGGTCCCTGAGTGAATCATGATTGATTGGTAACTGGTAACACAGCAGCTTAGCAGCCAGGCCTGCAGCAGTCTCCCCCCTCCCCACCCCAAGACGGAGACAGTCAGTCTCACAAGCACCCATGGCACCAGTTTTGCTTGTCTGCAGCTTGAGGGGCAGTTCCCCCCAAACCCCTGCACGGATCTTCTTGAAACTTGGCAGGCTTTGTGGCCTCAGTAAGAGCTACCAGCCCTGCAGTTTTGACCCCCCTGTGTTGTAACACGTAGACGTGACAGGAGTTTTGCTTTCAAGAATTTGGGGTGCTGTTCCCCCCAGGCCCCTGCACCAATCTTCTTGAAACTTGGCAGGCTTTATCCTCTCTGCAGAGTCTACCATCCCTGAAAATTTCATCTAAATCGGATAAAAACAACAAAGTTATAGGTATTTTATTATTTCCCCATTATACCCTAAGGCCGGATCTCCGAGGCGGCTCCGAAGCGCTTCGGGAAGCCAAACGAGGCCCCCGAAGCATCCGAAGCTCTGTCTGAAGCCTCGCACAGCCCTACTAACAGTCTTGGCAGCAGGATTGTGGTGTTTTATTTTACTGGTATTAAGAAGTCTTTACTTTCAGCCATTATGAGTCATGGCTTTTTCCACTGGACTCTGGTATCTATATTTTTTTAAAAAATCAGATTCCAATAAGTAATGACTATATCTTCAACGTATAGATTCATGATTTAAAGGAAAAATTGGTAGATGGGACTGTGATCTTGCAGGGGAAGCCATGTTTGAAAGCTAAACAAACTCCGTACACTAATAAGGCATTATTAAAACAGATGAATTGCACAGAAAGACACGCATAAGAGAGAGTTCCTTTATTAAGCATACATGTGCATATATATCCGTTCCAACACCATCTCTTATCCCAACAGCATAGACATAAGAGAGATTTATATCATACTCTAATATTTGAACCTAAGAGAAAACACATGCAAACACAAAGGTTGTATCTGTGCATCTGAGAACCACAAAGTTTAAAGGAAAAGCCGCAATTAAAATTTACTTAGTCTTATTGTATGAGCAGTATCAAAAAAGTGCAGTTACCTTCAGTGTACTGATTTTTTTTTTTTTTTAAACAAATAAGGCTTGCTTCTACTTATAGTAGCAAACTTAGGTGTAAATAGTTCAAAGGGACATCTATAAAAGAGGCACAAAACTTTTTCCTGCAACTACTGTAATATATGGTGAATATGTAGCCACTGTTTCATAGTATGATATTTACCTCTAGGCTATGGAGAAATTGTAAGAAATCAAATTAAATGTACTATTGTAGTCTCTGAAAGATATTTTATAGCTCATTGAGAGAAAAGGCTTGATCATAAATTACCAGCTTAGTAGGTAGAGTTAAATTAAAGCAGCAAGGAATACACTATGTTACACAGGATGCAAAGGTGAAATTATGTATGCAAATTTCACGTGAAGGATCACTGACTTGCATCAGTTATATTCTGTCATATAACTGATGCAAGTACTGGTGCATACAGGAGCAGTGTTGTTACTTTATTTTTTTCAGAGTGCCAGCCTCAAAGGTTAAACAGTACCAGATCATACCATCCACCTAAGAAATGTTGCAACTTTTCATTCAAATTGCAGAGCAGCTGATGTACTTCATTGTTCCTATTTTCTCTGCCCCCACTTACACTTACAGCTCCAAACTTCTTTTTTACTGAGATATAGTGAGCATGAGGTGCAGTAAGTAGCAAGGATTCTTCAGACCTGGTACTTGACTATGGAGGGTACAGGCCATGGCAACTAGCAAGAAGTGAAGGTAATTAATGAAGAATACTCCCATTAATTTGATTTACTTTTCTTCTTCCAGGTGACACTAAAGAAATCCATGTCTTCTGGGATCACCTTTGGAATCCGGCATTCTGAGTACACAGTGCCTTTAATTATGGAAATCTATTGACCTTCCTGCAAAGCTGTCTTACAAGAACTAAATTTATTTTCCCATATCGTGTTGCTTTATGTTTGAAAGCTGCCAGATTTTACATAGCTCCTCTTAAATTTAGAAGCAGTCATATCTCCAACTTGTAACAAAAGATGTGCATCCATATTCAGAAAATTATCATGTGTAGTAGTATAATTTGCCCCCTGCTATAAAAGAATCTTCCATGTCCCCACTCTCCGCAAGGAAGAGAGCGTATTGAAGCTAAGATCATTGTCATCTGTGTGGATCATGCTGCCTTCATCAGTACAGTACTACCACTTCACAGCACCTGGCTCCAGCTATTCTTCAGACTATGGACTTTCACAAAATTGCCTGTGTAAAAATCTCATTCCATTTCCTACTAATAAGGCAGTCAGTTGAGTTTAGTCCTGTGATGGCCCTAGCTGCATGCCATTGATGTGTGTGTGTGTGTGTGTGTGTGTGTGTGTGTATGTTTAATCATGGTATTAGGATTTAAGAAAAATAAACCAGGAAGTGAATCTGAATTTAACACTTTGAAGTTATTGATCACCCATTTGCCTTTAGATGGAGCTATATACTAAGGTTTAAATAGACAGCCTGAAGTATTAAAACAAATTTTTATGTACGCTACAGTTATATTCAGGCAAAGCTTTACATAGACTTTTCATCAGTCTTCCTCAATTCATTTGTTCTTCATTTATCTTGGATAGTAGGAGAAAATAAATGGACTAGTTTATGGTTTCTGGTTTTCATGCCTCTGCAAAATATTACATTATTAGAGCTGCTGGCAAATGCAGAAATCCCTAAAAAAACCCATTGGCTTTCCATTAGAATGTGTAAAATAAAGGAAGCTTTTTGCTTTGTGCCTGGGCTGTTGTCTTTACCCAGAAGAAGCACCGTTCTTCCTCTCACCACTGCCGTGTGCATTCACTAGCCAAGGACATACAAGGGCCGCATACAGACCAACCACAACCAGAAATCATATTCAGAAAGCACAGGAGCTACTCCCTTTGGATGTTCCTAGTAGAACACATAGGAGGTGAGGGATTAGACACAACCAAGCCTTTTCATGCTGCTATTTGGCACAGGATGGATACAGCTGGGAAAGGAAGTTACTTCTACTGAAGTACTGTAAAAATGGACAAGTTCCTTCTGAATAATGGAGAAAAGTTCTGCCTTCTAAGACACCATTCTTCCCTGAGCTTCCCTCAGATAGCGTGCAAGTTTGCACCTTCCTTTAATAACTGGGCAGTGATTACGTGTCACAAAAACATGCAAAGACTTAATGCACTTATTGTGGAGGAGCTGTTGGCTCTGCTTAACCAAGATGGAAAAACAAATAACTTTCCCAACTACTGTTCTGTTAATTGTTTTTTATGTATTCTTTCAAGACAAAATTAATGAGAAGGCAATGATAGGGAGGGTAGCAGTTGAATGCCAGCACTTCTGGATCCTTAACTAGTCTGTGTGAGGGATAGAACTTCAGATTGATGCAAGGATAGTTATTAATGAATTATGCTTTATTGTTATAATACTAGGATATTATGAAATTGCCTTCATCTTTACTGAATTAAGAAAATACATAGAGTTTTTATATTTGTCAATATTTGGAGACCAATACCTGCTTGGGTTTTTGCTTGCTTATTTTGTTAAGTAATATGTAATAAGAAAATGATCCTTCCTCCCCCCCTCCTGATTTCTCTCACTCAGGAACAGGTCTCACATGTCAAGAAAAATATAAACATATTTATTACTAAAAAGTGTGTTTATACTCAAAGAGCACTTACAATTGTCTTTCTGTCTGAAAATATTTATGGCATTTCTTTTATGCTATATTTTGAAAGATGTATACAAGTATTAATTATGGAGGTTTATGCTTTATATAGAATATTTAATGGGCCTTTTTCCTTAAAAGCTGTATGTGCTATAAGTTTTAAATATGAGGATATTTGGTCAGAGGAACAGAAGTCCCGTAAGACTGTCTCATCAAAAAAATCAAAGCACATCCTTCTTGCGTGGAGTTGAAGCCTGGTATAGACAAAACTTCCCTCAAAGCAAGTTTTTGTCAGAATCTAAAATACATTATCAAGAAAAAAAGGTGGGTGAAAATGCATCAGATTAGATGTTCTACAAAATTCTTATTTTAAAGTGATTTTTATGAAGACTCCAAAGTATTCATCCTTGAAGTTTAAAGAAAAACATTGGTGGGTGGAAAATATTTTATAGTAGGCTTTTTCAACAGCTAAATGAGCACTTGTCATTGAAGGCAAAATATCATGTGACTCTTTAAATGCTTCAGGGGACATTGATATCTTGAAGGAAGCTTCATTGCATATACAGTAAAAGCTGTGTTAACTGGCATGAGTGGGGAACAGTGTGCTGGTTATATAAAAATCCTGGTTATCAGAGGCAGGGGTTTTTGGCCAGACGCAGCAGCACAGGGTGGTGGATGGCGGCAGCGGCCATGTACGAGCTCTCCCCACCATGTCTGATTAATAGAAATGCCAGTTACTAAAATGCCAGTTAACACAGGTTTTACTATATTTTGAACCTCAAAGTAAGCCTCATATCCAGGGATGGGCAAAATGTGGCCTGCGGGTTGGATGTGGCCTGCCAGGCCATTCTATCCGGCCTGCGGGGCCCCTAAAAAATTTAGAAAAATAATAGTTACCTGCCCCTGGCTGCCTGTCATGTGGCCACTTGCTGCTGTAAGAAGCTTTAAAATATTCATAGAATTAGTCACTGGACAAAGTCCAAGCAACTTCAGATATGCCTACACTGTGCTGGGTGTATCCAGGAAGGGATGCTCCCCAAAACATTTCAGCTTTTACTCACATACAACAAAATATGGAGCAGCTTCACTGCTGCATTTCCAGGGTCATCCCCTATGGCTGCCCAACAGACCTCTGTCTAGTGTGCTTAAGACCAGCCACATGGGACGTCTTTAGGGTGGCTTTATTACCACATTTCTGGGTTTAGCCTGCGTAAGAAAAGACACTCCTTTCTGGATAGGCCAGGGACATGGCATAGATATACCCTTCTTTATCACATTCAGGATGACACCACTCCTGAGATAGCTGAGAACAAGAGAAAAGACTTTACTTAGATGACTGTTTGAGTTTAAAAAAACTAATTTCAAAACGGGAAGATTTATACAGGCAAAGAAGGGTGCCTGAACCCTTTTGAAGCACGACTTTGATTTCTCTTGAGTCTCAATGGAATTTAAGGAGGGAGAGGGAGCATTGAATAATAAACAGAACAAGTTTAAGCTAAAGTTAGCTTTAGGGATGCTCTAAAAAGTTCTTATCATCAGTGTGGAGGGGTGTGAGTTTACAAACCCATTGCATATAGATTAACAGATTACACATTCATGAGTGTTATGAATCAGGGTGTAAGTCTGACCTAATGGTTAATATCCTGGTCACTAAGTGGGAGAGCAGGGCCACGAAGCATCAAGATGAGAATTCAGAGCCAGAAGCCACAGTCCAGTACTGTGCTAGAAGCCAGAAACCAGGAGGTCCAAGGTAAGAGTGAGGGCAGAAAGCCTGACTAGGAACTAGGCTGGAGACAAGACTGGGGGCTTGCACAGTACCAAGCAGGAAATGGAGCCAAAGTGAGAATAGGAACCAGAACTGGACCTAGGAGGGATGGGGCTCAAGACTTGAAGCAGGAAACAAGGGCAAGAACAGGGGACAGGAGCAAAGAGATGACACTACAAGCCAGGCACAGCTCCAGGTTTGTGAAGAGTCAAGAACCAACAGCTTTTCTTGGGACTGGGCTTGTACTTTAATGTTTAGCCACCTGCAGTCAATAGGGTAGTCAGGCCCAGCTTGACCAAATCAAGACTCAGTCAGCTCCAGGAAAGCCTTAAACTTAGTGTTGACCCTTAGCTTAACAATGATCTCAAGACACTGCCTAACCTGAGCCTCAAAGATGCCAACCCAATGAAAGGCACAAGTGTCATATTTTATCCACAATGGCCTGAAAGACATTTTCCTTCTTCCATGAAATAAGAGGGGGAAAATAAAAATTTGTTTGAATCAAGCAAGATGCCATACTTTGCTCCTCTCCCACCACATTGCAGCACTAATTATAGTTTGTCCTGTTCACCTCTGAAAGCAAACACTTTGAGAACAGTACTAAAAGCAGGCATGACAGTCCTGAGAAGCACTCATCATAACTAGATGGCTAAAACTACACCAAGTTTTCAACAGACATTGGCGAGAAACTCTGCAACGTCAAAGCTGGAGTGGAATTATAATTTAAGAAACCAACAGTTTCGCCTATTATATGCCAGATGGTTCGGATGATGTATTCCTGGAGGCATAAGTGAAACCTTGTCAACAGAAAGAAACATTACAATTAAACACTAATCAATTTACTTGTCAAGATAGCTATTTGAAGATCTTTTGAGTAACAGACTTAAATACTTCCAATTTAATGAGGCTTGGTTAAGATGACACCCCTTTTCCCATGTATATTATGGAGATTCAAAACCCTTGGGTGTTTGGCACGCCACGCCAAGCCCCAATATTCTAAGCCAGGCTTCCATGGGAGCCCTGGGGAAGCGTGTGAGGATGGGTGAGTCAGTATGGCCAAAATGCATTTTTAGTTTTGGGGCAGCTGAGACCATTCATGTCCCACCAGGGAAGAAGGCCTCAGGCCTTTGGGCTTGCAAAGCCTCTCTGAGGCTGAGCATCAGGCTGGCAGATACAAAGGGAGAGGAGATAAAAAGCAAAGCAGATATAAAGGAACAACCTTTCAATGGAATTCTTTACCCATCTATAAACTTTCATTTGCCTTGAGACAGGGCTTGTTCGTTATTTGGGGAATAGATAGATTGGTTCCATTCAAGAGAAAAACCCATTCTCAAAGTACAATCTCGTGTTAAAAAGCTTTCCACAAAAGGCACGCAGACAGGTCATACCCGAAATAGCCATTGTTTAATTTTCTTTTCCTTTAGTAATAGGAAACGGTTGTGGTTATTTGCAATGATTTTGCTGGTCTTTCAGCACCCTGCCCCTTCATTCATAAATAAAAAACATCACATAGTAGGAGAAATCATGAATTGGAATTGAAAGTGAGAGAGAAGCAATAACATTTTGTTAAATGTTCCTGACCACCTCTTTTCATGACTTCTGAACAAGAAGGTGCTGGATAAGCAAAATGATCCTTCAGAAGGCCATAGAGGACAACCGTTCTTCCTCCTGGTGGCCTCTTATCATATGCAGAACCTGCCAAGGTATATCTTATCACCAGGGATCCTGTTTTTTTCTGTTAAAAAAATATCACAAATTCTAATTTAAAAAAATTGCAAATTCTCTTATTAAAAAATCCCAAATCTGTGTTTTTAATTTTAAAGCAATTTGGAAGCCTACCAGTGCCTCAATCAGTATAATAACATAAATTCTAAATACCTACATATTTTAGTGTTTGATTTTGGGTTTATATTATGGAATATCAGA